TTATTATTCAACAATATTTCAATTGCTAAATTTACATTATCACTGGAACAAAACAGATTGCAAGTAGAGAAAAATTTCGATCTTCATGCATTCAAAGTAAGTAATATAGATTGATGATATATTTTATACAAATGATAAAACCTGAGCAAAATCTTCATTCTTGCTAAAAGCATTTATTATTGTCCCACAAATATGCAGGACGTTCCAAAATTTACTTCAAGCCACAGTAGCCTAAACTCTGGCCGAAACATTCAATTACCTCAAACTTGGGTAATTTAAGGCGTCAATCAATACCTGCATCATTATCATATAGTTGTTGTGTATTCAACATTCAGCTGATTATTTTTCGGCAAACAGATCAAACTATGAACCATTTTTTTTATCACATTTAATGCATGTCTAAAAAACACCAAAATTATGTCTACAACACCTGGGATTCCCAGCCGTCTCCGATCCAAGTACTAACCAGGCCCAACGTTGCTTAACTTGACAGACCCCCGACGAGATGTCGTGCTTTCAACGTGGCATTGTCACAAATATGTTGAAGCATAAATCACATCCAATCGATAATAGCACACATTTATTGTAGCGATGATTTTTCTTCACTTCAAGCAACATTTGCGCCCAAATTTATTATTCAACAATATTTCAATTGCTAAATTTACATTATCACTGGAACAAAACAGATTGCAATTAGAGAAAAATTTCGATCTTCATGCATTCAAAGTAAGTAATATAGATAGATGATATATTTATTTTATACAAATGATAAAACCCGAGCAAAATCTCATTCTTGCTAAAAGCATTTATTATTGTCCCACAAATATGCAGGACGTTCCAAAATTTTACTTCAAGCCACAGTAGCCTAAACTCTGGGCCGAAACATTCAATTACCTCAAACTTGGGTAATTAAACCGTCGATCATACCTGCATCATTATCATATAGTTGTTGTGTATTCAACATTCAGCTGATTATTTTTCGGCGAAACAGATCAAACTGTGATCCATTTTTTATCACTTTCGATAATAGCACACATTTAATGTGTGCTATTATCGTTACTTCACTTCAAAGCAACATTTGCGCCCAAATTTATTATTCAACAATATTTCAATTGCTAAATTTACATTATCACTGGAACAAAACAGATTGCAAGTAGAGAAAAATTCGATCTTCATGCATTCAAAGTAAGTAATATAGATAGATTGATTATTTATTTTATACAAATGATAAAACCTGAGCAAAATCTCATTCTTTGCTAAAAGCATTTATTATTGTCCCACAAATATGCAGGACGTTCCAAAATTTTACTTCAAGCCACAGTAGCCTAAACTCTGGGCCGAAACATTCAATTACCTCAAACTTGGGTAATTAAACCGTCGATCATACCTGCATCATTATCATATATAGTTGTTGTGTATTCAACATTCAGCTGATTATTTTTCGGCAAACAGATCAAACTATGAACCATTTTTTTTATCACATTTAATGCATGGCTAAAAAACACCAAAAATATGTCTACAACACCTGGGATTCCCAGGCCGTCTCCGATCCAAGTACTAACCAGGCCCAACGTTGCTTAACTTGACAGACCCGACGAGATGTCGTGCTTTCAACGTGGCATTGTCACAAATATGTTGAAGCATAAATCACATCCAATCGATAATAGCACACATTTATTGTAGCGATGATGATTTTTACTTCACTTCAAGCAACATTTGCGCCCAAATTTATTATTCAACAATATTTCAATTGCTAAATTTACATTATCACTGGAACAAAACAGATTGCAATAAAGAAAAATTTCGAATCTTCATGCATTCAAAAGTAAAGTAATATAGATTGATGATGATATATTTTATACAAATGATAAAACCTGAGCAAAATCTCATTCTTGCTAAAAGCATTTATTATTGTCCCACAAATATGCAGGACGTTCCAAAATTTTACTTCAAGCCACAGTAGCCTAAACTCTGGGCCGAAACATTCAATTACCTCAAACTTGGGTAATTAAACGTCGATCATACCTGCATCATTATCATATAGTTTGTGTGTATTCAAACATTCAGCTGATTATTTTTCGGCGAACAGATCAAACTGTGATCCATTTTTTATCACTTTCGATAATAGCACACATTTAATTGTAGCGATGATTTTTTACTTCACTTCAAGCAACATTTGCGCCCAAATTTATTATTCAACAATATTTCAATTGCTAAATTTACATTATCACTGGAACAAAACAGATTGCAAAGTAGAGAAAATTTCGATCTTCATGCATTCAAAGTAAGTAATATAGATTGATGATATATTTATTATACAAATGATAAAACCTGAGCAAAATCTCATTCTTGCTAAAAGCATTTTTATTGTCCACAATAATGCAGGACGATTCCAAAATTTTACTTCAAGCCACAGTAGCCTAAACTCTGGGCCGAAACATTCAATTACCTCAAACTTGGGTAATTAAACCGTCGATCATACCTGCATCATTATCAATATAGTTGTTGTGTATTCAACATTCAGCTGATTATTTTCCAGGCAAACAGATCAAACTATGAACCTTTTTCTTTATCACATTTAATGCATGTCTAAAAACACAAAATTATGTCTACAACACCTGGGATTCCCAGGCCGTCTCCGATCCAAGTACTAACCAGGCCCAACGTTGCTTAATTGACAGATCGACGAGATGTCGTGCTTTCAACGTGGTATGGTCGTAGACTAAATGTTAGCAATATGTTAAGATTAAATTCACATCCAATCGATAAATAAGCACACATTATCGTAGCGATGATTTTTACTTCACTTCAAGCACATTTGCGCCGCAAATTTATTATTCAACAATATTTCAATTGCTAAATTTACATATCACATGGAACAAAACATAGATTGCAAGTAGAGAAAAATTTCGATCTTCATGCATTCAAAGTAAGTAATATAGATGATGATATATTTATTTATACAAATGATAAACCTGAGCAAAATCTCATTCTTGCTAAAAGCATTTATTATTGTCCCACAAATATGCAGGACGTTCCAAAATTTTACTTCAAGCCACAGTAGCCTAAACTCTGGGCCGAAACATTCAATTACCTCAAACTTGGGTAATTAAACCGTCGATCATACCTGCATCATTATCATATAGTTGTTGTGTATTCAACATTCAGCTGATTATTTTTCGGCGAACAGATCAAACTGTGATCTCCATTTTTTTATCACTTTCGATAATAGCACACATTTAATTGTAGCGATGATTTTTACTTCACTTCAAGCAACATTTTGCGCCCCAAAATTTATTATTTCAACAATATTTTCATTGCTAAATTTACATTATCACTGGAAACAAACAGATTGCAAGTAGAGAAAAATTTCGATCTTCATGCATTCAAAGTAAGTAATATAGATTGATGATATATTTTATACAAATGATAAAACCTGAGCAAAATCTCATTCTTGCTAAAAGCATTTATTATTGTCCCACAAATATGCAGGACGTTCCAAAATTTTACTTCAAGCCACAGTAGCCTAAACTCTGGGCCGAAACATTCAATTACCTCAAACTTGGGTAATTAAACCGTCGATCATACCTGCATCATTTATCATATAGTTGTTGTGTATTCAACATTCAGCTGATTATTTTTCGGCAAACAGATCAAACTATGAACCATTTTTTATCACATTTAATGGCATGCTAAAAAACACCAAAAATATGTCTACAACACTGGGATCCCAGGCCGTCTCCGATCCAAGTATAACCAGGCCCAACGTTGCTTAACTTGACAGACCCGACGAGATGTCGTGCTTCAACGTGGCATTGTCACAAATATGTTGAAGCATAAATCACATCCAATCGATAATAGCACACATTTATTGTACGATGATTTTACTTCACTTCAAGCAACATTTGCGCCCAAATTTATTATTCAACAATATTTCAATTGCTAAATTTACATTATCACTGAAACAAAACAGATTGCAAGTAGAGAAAAATTTCGATCTACATGCATTCAAAGTAAGTAATATAGATTGATGATATATTTTATACAAATGATAAAACCTGAGCAAAATCTCATTTCTTGCTAAAAGCATTTATTATTGTCCCACAAATATGCAGACGTTTCAAAATTTACTTCAAGCCACAGTAGCTTAACTCCGGGCCGAAACATCAATTACCTCAAACTGGGTATTAAACCGTCGATCATACCTGCATCATTATCATATAGTTGTTGTGTATTCACATTCAGCTGATTATTTTTCGGCGAACAGATCAAACTGTGATCCATTTTTTATCACTTTCGATAATAGCACACATTTAATTGTAGCGATGATTTTTACTTCACTTCAAGCAACATTTGCGCCCAAATTTATTATTCAACAATATTTCAATTGCTAAATTTACATTATCACTGGAACAAAACAGATTGCAAGTAGAGAAAAATTTCGATCTTCATGCATTCAAAGTAAGTAATATAGATTGATGATATATTTTATACAAATGATAAAACCTGAGCAAAATCTCATTCTTGCTAAAAGCATTTATTATTGTCCCACAAATATGCAGGACGTTCCAAAATTTTACTTCAAGCCACAGTAGCCTAAACTCTGGGCCGAAACATTCAATTACCTCAAACTTGGGTAATTAAACCGTCGATCATACCTGCATCATTATCATATAGTTGTTGTGTATTCAACATTCAGCTGATTATTTTCGGCAAACAGATCAAACTATGAACCATTTTTTTTATCACATTTAATGCATGTCTAAAAACACCAAAAATATGTCTACAACACCTGGGATTCCCAGGCCGTCTCCGATCCAAGTACTAACCAGGCCCAACGTTGCTTAACTTGACAGACCCGACGAGATGTCGTGCTTTCAACGTGGCATTGTCACAAATATGTTGAAGCATAAATCACATCCAATCGATAATAGCACACATTTATTGTAGCGATGATTTTTACTTCACTTCAAGCAACATTTGCGCCCAAATTTATTATTCAACAATATTTCAATTGCTAAATTTACATTATCACTGGAACAAAACAGATTGCAATTAGAGAAAAATTTCGATCTTCATGCATTCAAAGTAAGTAATATAGATAGATGATATATTTATTTTATACAAATGATAAAACCTGAGCAAAATCTCATTCTTGCTAAAAGCATTTATTATTGTCCCACAAATATGCAGGACGTTCCAAAATTTTACTTCAAGCCACAGTAGCCTAAACTCTGGGCCGAAACATTCAATTACCTCAAACTTGGGTAATTAAACCGTCGATCATACCTGCATCATTATCATATAGTTGTTGTGTATTCAACATTCAGCTGATTATTTTTCGGCGAACAGATCAAACTGTGATCCATTTTTTATCACTTTCGATAATAGCACACATTTAATTGTAGCGATGATTTTTACTTCACTTCAAGCAACATTTGCGCCCAAATTTATTATTCAACAATATTTCAATTGCTAAATTTACATTATCACTGGAACAAAACAGATTGCAAGTAGAGAAAAATTTCGATCTTCATGCATTCAAAGTAAGTAATATAGATTGATGATATATTTTATACAAATGATAAAACCTGAGCAAAATCTCATTCTTGCTAAAAGCATTTATTATTGTCCCACAAATATGCAGGACGTTCCAAAATTTTACTTCAAGCCACAGTAGCCTAAACTCTGGGCCGAAACATTCAATTACCTCAAACTTGGTAATAGTGATCAATTCAACATCGTGTCGATCAATACCATGCAATCCATTTTTTATCACATATAGTTGTTGTAGACTATTCAAACATTCCAGCCGTCTGATATACTTTTCTTACGGACCGAACAGATCGTGCTTCAACGTGCATTGTCACAAATATTTGAACATAATCACATCCATCGATAATAGCACACATTTATTGTAGCGATGATTTTTACTTCACTTCAAGCAACATTTGCGCCCAAATTTATTATTCAACAATATTTCAATTGCTAAATTTACATTATCACTGGAACAAAACAGATTGCAAGTAGAGAAAAATTTCGATCTTCATGCATTCAAAGTAAGTAATATAGATTGATGATATATTTTATACAAATGATAAAACCTGAGCAAAATCTCATTCTTGCTAAAAGCATTTATTATTGTCCCACAAATATGCAGGACGTTCCAAAATTTTACTTCAAGCCACAGTAGCCTAAACTCTGGGCCGAAACATTCAATTACCTCAAACTTGGGTAATTAAACCGTCGATCATACCTGCATCATTATCATATAGTTGTTGTGTATTCAACATTCAGCTGATTATCTCTGGGCCGAACAGATCAAACTGATGATCCATTTTTTATCACTTTCGATAATAGCACACATTTAATTGTAGCGATGATTTTTACTTCACTTCAAGCAACATTTGCGCCCAAATTTATTATTCAACAATATTTCAATTGCTAAATTTACATTATCACTGGAACAAAACAGATTGCAAGTAGAGAAAAATTTCGATCTTCATGCATTCAAAGTAAGTAATATAGATTGATGATATATTTTATACAAATGATAAAACCTGAGCAAAATCTCATTCTTGCTAAAAGCATTTATTATTGTCCCACAAATATGCAGGACGTTCCAAAATTTTACTTCAAGCCACAGTAGCCTAAACTCTGGGCCGAAACATTCAATTACCTCAAACTTGGGTAATTAAACCGTCGATCATACCTGCATCATTATCATATAGTTGTTGTGTATTCAACATTCAGCTGATTATTTTTCGGCGAACAGATCAAACTGTGATCCATTTTTTATCACTTTCGATAATAGCACACATTTAATTGTAGCGATGATTTTTACTTCACTTCAAGCAACATTTGCGCCCAAATTTATTATTCAACAATATTTCAATTGCTAAATTACATTATCACTGGAACAAAACAGATTGGCAAGTAGAGAAAATTTCGATCTTCATGCATTCAAAGTAAGTAATATAGATTGATGATATATTTTATACAAATGATAAACCCTGAGCAAAATCTCATTCTTGCTAAAAGCATTTATTATTGTCCCACAAATATGCAGGACGTTCCAAAATTTTACTTCAAGCCACAGTAGCCTAAACTCTGGGCCGAAACATTCAATTACCTCAAACTTGGGTAATTAAACCGTCGATCATACCTGCATCATTATCATATAGTTGTTGTGTATTCAACATTCAGCTGATTATTTTTCGGCGAACAGATCAAACTGTGATCCATTTTTTATCACTTTCGATAATAGCACACATTTAATTGTAGCGATGATTTTTACTTCACTTCAAGCAACATTTGCGCCCAAATTTATTATTCAACAATATTTCAATTGCTAAATTTACATTATCACTGGAACAAAACAGATTGCAAGTAGAGAAAAATTTCGATCTTCATGCATTCAAAGTAAGTAATATAGATTGATGATATATTTTATACAAATGATAAAACCTGAGCAAAATCTCATTCTTGCTAAAAGCATTTATTATTGTCCCACAAATATGCAGGACGTTCCAAAATTTTACTTCAAGCCACAGTAGCCTAAACTCTGGGCCGAAACATTCAATTACCTCAAACTTGGGTAATTAAACCGTCGATCATACCTGCATCATTATCATATAGTTGTTGTGTATTCAACATTCATGATTATTTTTCGGCGAACAGATCAAACTGTGATCCATTTTTTATCACTTTCGATAATAGCACACATTTAATTGTAGCGATGATTTTTTACTTCACTTCAAGCAACATTTGCGCCCAAATTTATTATTCAACAATATTTCAATTGCTAAATTTACATTATCACTGGGCAAACAGATTGCAAGTAGAAAAAATTTCGATCTTCATGCATTCAAAGTAAGTAATATAGATTGATGATGATATATTTTATACAAATGATAAAACCTGAGCAAAACTCATTCTTGCTAAAAGCATTATTATGTCCCACAAATATGCAGGACGTTCCAAAATTTTACTTCAAGCCACAGTAGCCTAACTCTGGGCCGAAACATTCAATTAACCTCATACTTGGTAATTAAACCGTCGATCATACCTGCATCATTATCATATAGTTGTTGTGTATTCAACATTCAGCTGATTATTTTTCGGCGAACAGATCAAACTGTGATCCATTTTTTATCACTTTCGATAATAGCACAATTTAATTGTAGCGATGATTTTTACTTCACTTCAAGCAACATTTGCGCCCAAATTTATTATTATTCAACAATATTTCAATTGCTAAATTTACATTATCACTGGAACAAAACAGATTGCAAGTAGAGAAAATTTCGATCTTCATGCATTCAAAGTAAGTAATATAGATTGATGATATATTTTATACAAATGATAAAACCTGAGCAAAATCTCATTCTTGCTAAAAGCATTTATTATTGTCCCACAAAATATGCAGGACGTTCCAAAATTTTACTTCAAGCCACAGTAGCCTAAACTCTGGGCCGAACATTCAATTACCTCAAACTTGGGTAATTAAACCGTCGATCATACCTGCATCATTATCATATAGTTGTTGTGTATTACAACATTCAGCTGATTATTTTTTGGCGAACAGATCAACTGTGATCCATTTTTTATCACTTTCGATAATAGCACACATTTAATTGTAGCGATGATTTTTACTTCACTTCAAGCAACATTTGCGCCCAAATTTATTATTCAACAATATTTCAATTGCTAAATTTACATTATCACTGGAACAAAACAGATTGCAAGTAGAGAAAAATTTCGATCTTCATGCATTCAAAGTAAGTAATATAGATTGATGATATATTTTATACAAATGATAAAACCTGAGCAAAATCTCATTCTTGCTAAAAGCATTTATTATTGTCCCACAAATATGCAGGACGTTCCAAAATTTTACTTCAAGCCACAGTAGCCTAAACTCTGGGCCGAAACATTCAATTACCTCAAACTTGGGTAATTAAACCGTCGATCATACCTGCATCATTATCATATAGTTGTTGTGTATTCAACATTCAGCTGATTATTTTTCGGCAACAGATCAAACTATGAACCATTTTTTTTATCACATTTAATGCATGTCTAAAAAACACCAAAATTATGTCTACAACACCTGGGATTCCCAGGCCGTCTCCGATCCAAGTATAACCAGGCCCAACGTTGCTTAACTTGACAGATCGGACGAGATGTCGTGC